CGAGGAAGAGTCCTTAAAGACCAACTAGTTCGGGGGAATGTGACTTAACCAAGGTCGTGAAGCTAGGCAGTGGTAAAGCGTGAAGTAGAACCAGTAGGCGCAGAAGACAAGTGGCCCAGGTGAGACTCAAACCCTGGTCTTCTGACTACAAATTTTTTTCTACTCTGCTCTGCCCTATCATTAACCAGAGTCACTCCTGTAGGGACAGGTATTTCAGGCCAGTTGGTAGACCCCTGTTTGCAACAGCTCTACTCCAGTTGACTTCTTCCTTGGTGCTCTATTGATTGCTTAAGGTCAGGTATTTCATTCTGGCTTTGTTGGGGGTGATTTGCAGCTGCTCTGAGGTGCCCAGTAACTCGGGGATTCCTCTTTGCCCTTTGTAGGGGGGAACTGAGGGACACCATCCTGGACTGGGAAGATGCCCTGCCTGACCGAGACCTGAACCTTGCTGATGAAGCCTGCAGGTGTGATAAACTTTGAGTACTTGGCTCCTTCCTCTTTCACCTCCTTCCCCTGTCCTGTCTTCTTCTGGGATTAGTGGTAGTGGGGAGCACCTCTGGCCTTTGGGAATGAATGGGGAAGGGGAGAGTCTAGAGCCAGAGAGGTGTTTGGAGGCTTTTGGATAAGGGGTAAGCTATATGGCCCCTTCGTCTCTTCGGGTCCAACTGCCGCAGGCTCTCATCACCTCTTGCAATAGCTGCGGCCGATTTCTACCCTCCAGCCCATCCTCCACTGAGCTGCCAAATGGATCTTCCTAAAACAAGCTTGACCACGTAACTCCTTCATCCAGTAAACTCTTGTGGCTCTCTGTTTCCTTCCGGATCAAACATAGAATCCTCTTTTTGGCTTTTGGAGCCCTTTATAACCTGAATCCTTCCTACTTTTTCAGTTTTCTTACTCCCTGTGTCCTCCCTTTTATACCCTGCTGTGACACTGGCTTCCTTTCTGCTCCTAGAGCTAGACTTCTCCCTGCTCCAGGCATTTTCATTGGCTGTATCTGATGCCTGAAATTCTCTCCCTCCCCAGCCCTGCCTCTGGGCTTCCCTAACTTCCCACAAGAAACCTTTCCCGGTCCCCCTCAATGCTAGTTTAATCCTTCTGTTATTACCTCTAGTCTATCCTGCCTGCAGTTTGTACAGAGTTGTTTGTTACGTTATCTCCTCCATAAGACTCTCAGCTCCTTTAAGAGCAGGGACCATCTTTTACCTTCTTTTGCACCTATAGCACTTAGCACAGGGCTTGGCACATGGTAGGTGCTGGCAGACTGACTGGAGCCAGAATGGACAGGACTGAAGTTTGGATGGTAAAATACTGATAACTTCACGTTTTTTCCTATGGCATTTAAAAATTCACAGAGTACTCTCCTCACAAAACCGCTACAAAGGGCCAGTATGAGTGTTATTCTCCCATTTAACAGATGAAGAAGCTCAGGCTCAAAAACCCATGGGGCCGAAGGGAAACACAAAAGCTCTAGCTGGTGTGGGAGTCAGCATTGAGTCCCAGCATCTCGACTCCCAAGTTTCAGCATTCTTTCCCTACACCACATTGGGTTTGGGGAAGAAGGGAGGGGGAGGATGCAGAGATCTGGGTGTTTTTCAGCCTGGGGGCGTGGGTACGTGGCAATGCTGGCCTTAGTCATCCCTGTGGTCTTAACAGTGTAAGGAAAAGGAGGAAAGCCCCAGATCCAAGGGGGTTTAGGGGGCTGAGATATTGAGGTCATCCCGTTTAATTTCCAGGAATGCAGATCTCTCCATCACTCTGGGCACATCGCTGCAGATCCGACCCAGTGGCAACCTGCCTCTGCTCACTAAACGCAAAGGAGGCCGCTTGGTCATAGTCAATCTGCAAGCCACCAAGCATGTGAGTACTTAGCTCCATCCAGTCCACAAGAGGGGCTGGTCCCCGGCCTCAGCAGCCTGCTGGGCCTCATCTTTCACCTGGCCGGGTTCCCTTCACTTAGGTCTGCCTCCCCTTTCCTTCCAGGATCGTCAGGCTGACCTTCGAATTCATGGCTACGTCGATGATGTCATGGCCAAGCTCATGAAGCACCTATGCTTGGAGATCCCTGAGTGGCAGGGGCCCCTTGTGGTGGAACAGGCCCCACCCCTGCTGCCCCTCCCGATACAGGTGAAGGCTGAGCTCCCCACACTGCCAGCCCTGCCTGCAACACCCAAGGCAGAGCCCCCTGCCCAGCGCCACAGATCACTGGAAGGTGGCAAACGAGAGCAGCCCCCTGCCCCCCGGCTGCCCAAGAGGGTGAAGGTGGAGCCTATGCCCAGCTGAACGGGCTTGAGACAGCGTGAGGACTCCTTTCTGAGCCCCAGTCTCCCTCACTGTACGAAGGGGGAGCACATTCAAGTGATATCTGCAGGCCTGTCCAACCCTCAGTCCTGGTGACAGTGTGGCCTAGTAGAAGGAACACTGCACTTAGAGTCATAGGACTCAGATTCAAATCCTATTCTGTGTGACTTTGGAAAAGTTATTTCACTCCTTTGGGCCTAATCGTTTCATTATCTGTAAAATGAAGTTGACCTAGCTGATCTTGAGGGATCTTTCCAGCTTCCTGTAAGCTATGATCCTGTGATGGGAATGGGCAAGTCTGGGTGGGTTTTTTACTTTTAAATAAATTTGATTTCCTTTTTCATACTAGAGTTTTTTATATATATCATAAAAATGTATTTTCCTTCTGTTATTTGTGAAACAACATTTCCAGGCCATCTGGTTACAGTCCTCTGCCATTCTCTCTTACTATAGCCAGAACCTTTTCTCTCCATTTCGAGCCCAGTAAGCAGGTCATTGGAGTCTGTGGGGCCCTGTGTGACCTGGACTAATTTCCTTCTCTCTGGGCCTCATTTTCCCTTACTGTAAACCTGAAGTCTTTTCTGCCTCTAAATCTTCTGATTCTATCATACCTGCTTTTGTCCCTCTTCTTCTCAGTTAGAATCTGTTGGGGTATCTGGTGCTAACAGCAGCAAATAAGAGAGGGTCTGTGGCCACTGCCAGCCAGCCCCCCAGGACTCTTACCTCTGTCCGCTCTATTGAGGTTTGGAAGAATGAGAATTGGGCAGACTTTGGCTTCGGGCTAATTCTGTGTTCCATGGAGTGGCCCCTGCTGAGCCTCTCTTTGTCTTCTCTCTGTTTTCACCTCTCTCTACAATCTCCTCTCTCTGCCTTGTCTTCTGAGACATGTTAGAGACAGGAAGTAGGGGACCAGCTACCTTCAGGCAGATGGGGAGGACTTTGTTAACCTCTAGATGCTTCTCTTATGTTGCAGCCTCCCCATTGCCAAATCGTTGGTAATTCCCGATTCTTGGGCATAAATGGATCTTTTTGCCTTCCCTCCCTCTCTGTCGTCTGGGCATGAGCATCTACCTCCTTCAGCACAAGGATAACAGCCATAGTTGGGACTTTACCCTCAACCAAGTGGGAGGTGGTGTCCCTGAGATTTTGATAGCCGACACCAGGATGTGGGAATAAAAACACCTGCCAATCTCTCTCTCTCTCTCTCTCTCACACACACACATGCACACTTTTTGGTGCTGGAGCTGAGTTTTGAATGAAAAAAGGAACTCTAAGGGGGCTGTGAGATGGGAGTGCATTCCAGGCAGGAGGGACAGCCGGTCAGTGTAAAGACCCTGAGGTGAGAGAGAGTGTTGGGTGTGAGAAACAGCAGGAAGGTCAGCTCTGGGGAGGGTGCAGGCATGGACCGACTTCACTACATGAATGCCCCACCCCCACAGGACATGTTAAAGGAGCTCTGAATCTGTAGCTGCAGGGCCCAGGTTAAAATCCTGCCTGTGTCACTTACTACTTGTATTGCCTTGGAAAAGTCATTGCTCCTCTTGTGGCTTCAGTTTCCTCATCCATGAAATGGAGGGGTTGAACTAAATATTACCATATGACCTCCTATGGTTTATTCCAGCTGTTCAGATACTGTGATCCATAAGGCCTCTTCCAGAAAGCTCCAAGTATACTGCTTTTATTCTGTTCGTTGTCTCTTTCCCCTCCTCACCTTCTTCCTCCAATCCTCCAGATTTTTCACAGCAATAAGGAAGCCTTATATAGGGAAATCACTGCTTCAGGAGTCTATGTTGAGGCCCTTAAGCCTTGGCCAAGCGTACTGCTATGCCTAGGGACTAGGCCGAGGACATTTGGCCCTCTGGAATTCTCCTTCCCATGGCTCTGGGCCCCAGTGTTGTCCCAGCAAGAGAGGGGAGGAGGTTTGGATCAGTGCAGGGAGAGACTGGAGTCAGCTGGACTGTGGTGTGAACAGAAGTGGACTAGAGTTAGGGGATCTGGCCTCACATTCAGGCTCTGTGACCTTGGGAAAGACTGTTAATCTCTTTAGACCTCTTTCTCTCCTCTAAAATGGATCTGGGAGATCCTTCTGCTTGAACAGTAGACTTGGCAGGCCTGTTCTTTTGCCACCTACATTCACTTAAGATCACAGGATTTAGATCTGGTCTCAACTTACCTGTCCTTTTAGTCACAAACATGATTTGTTATATGGGGAAAGTAATCTAACCTCTCAAGGCCGTCCATTTAAAATTTGAGGATTAGAGCAGAAAAACCCTATTGATGAATAGAACCTGATTCCAAACCCCATCCTTGGCCAGCAGCAGTGCTGCTCTCCAAGGTCCTGAAACATTCTCTGCATGGGTGTTCTCAGTCTGGGACTCCTGCAGTTTCCTCTCCACACAGCATCAGGGGATGTGTTGGGTTTGGGTTGCCTGTGGCAGGTAAGGGGAGTGGGTCACACAGAGGGGGAGAGAATGAGAACATGCCAAGATGGCCAGACAGACCCATTCCACAGAGAGTAGATGTTGCCGTAGCCAAGCAAGCCTTGCTGGGGTCGTGAGGAAAGGGAGAGATTCTGCCTCAGATCCATAGGACACTTGCCCCCAGTAGCATCCTTGGCTTGAGATCCTGTCCTACAGTTCATCTGCCATGCTGCCCACTCCCCCTCAAACCCAGAAACATTCCAGCCACTTTCTGCCAAAATACTTTATTAAGGGATCACTTCAACTTACAAAATCCTACCCCTAGGGAATTGGGGGAGGAGAGAAGGCATTCCCAACTGCAGGGGTAGAGCACATGGGATCCCCTAAAAGGCAGAGCTTGGGAGATGAGGATAGCCCCTGAGATCCCAGATTTGCCCCTGTTCACTTCTGGGAGCTCTGGAATTATCTTTCTCTGGGATGCCAGGGCATGTGCCTGGTCATGTGGAAAGATTAGTTCCTGGGGATGTATTGTCGGTAGCAATATATGTCTGCATAAAGGAGCTCTGGACTGGGACTCAGGAGACCGGTTCTGGTCCTGGCCAGGTCCCGGCCAGGTCCTGGCCAGGTCCCAGACTCTCTGGATGACCTTAAGCAAGTTCCTGCCCCACCTCTGGACATCAGTTTTCTCATATGCAGAATCAGGAGGCTGAACTTATCTTTAAGGCACCTTCCATCTTTTATATCCTGTGCAAGTCTGTGTATGTTTCAGTCTTTGGTAGCTTCTCAGACAGAAGCAGAGGAGATATGAAGGGGGCTGGGGGTGACCACCTACTCATTTGGCCTAGGTCCAGCCCAGGGTGGTGGGTGTAGCTTAATTTCAAGAGAAGAGCAGGGACCCGCCCCATATTGGACCACTCCATTTCAAGCCGAGGGAGCTGCTAAAACTCCCCACACCGTTCTAGGAATGGTACTGCCTAGCCTCTTTGAGTGGAGCGGGTCTCCCGGGACTGGCCTCTCAAAGCTCCTCCTCAGCCTCTAGCAATCCTCCAACCTTGGTGTGGCCCTGCTCCATCCTGGCCAACAGCGCCACTGATGTAGGCTCTGGTGTCTCAGCTGGTGTCCCGTTGCCCGGAGTAGTAGCGTCAGACAGGGGGCCCGGGCTGCTAGCTTCCTGGGGATACTGACTCCAGCGGCTAGGGGCTTGGGGACCTAGCTCCTCCCCACCTGGGACTGGAGCGTGGAACACCCGGGAGGCGGCGTCGGCGTTCAGCGACCTGGAGAATACTGGGTGGAGGAAGGAGAGGGCAGTCAGGGAAGAGAGTTGGAGAAGGTGAGATATAGGGAGGGGAAACAGCTGAGTCCCCTAGACCCCCTAGGATTCAGTGCAAAGCCCAAGCCGCCCATCCTGGCTGTGCTATGAACCTTTTTTACTCATTTGCAACACAGGGCTAATAAAATTTGCACTGCCTGCCTGGTGGAGGGGTGAGGAAAAGTGCTGTGCTGTATAATGTGAATTGTTACTTGCTTTTGTTATATTGGTTTATACCTGTGATTTCATCAGAGTAGGAATCTCTCGGTATGAATTATTATTCTTCCAATACAATCTTCCAGTGCTTTACTGAGGAGTGGAGGTGACCCACAGTCTCAAAAATTAGGACAGGAAGGGAAAGCTATGGCAGGTGCCATCAGGCTAGTAAAGGTTCAGTGACCTGCATGTCATCAGAAGGCCAGCACTTCCAGGTGGGGAGAGACTCACATCCCAAGGGTAGGCTACCTGCTAAAGATTTTTTGGCCAAAGGTGTGGAGAGGTACATATGCTACATATTGGTGGAATGTGCACCTGCTTTGATGAACCCATAGATCATTGTTACATTGAAATTAACAAAGGAGTGGAAAGGCCTTTAGCTTTGGACTGCAGGACCTCAGCTCAAATATCGACTACCCAAGTCCCCTTGGTACTTGCTTAGATAACCTGGGGGAGTAGAAGGATCACTGGAACTTGAGTCAGGAGATCTCAGTTTTGGAATCCTGTTCTCTCCCCCAACCTTGAGCATGTCATTTAACCTTGGCGACCATCAGTTTCCTCATTTGTAACTATGGGGTTGATACTGCCCTCCCAGAGTTGCTGTGAGATTTTGCAAGCATGACACCCATTAAGTTCTATAGATATATAAGTTAGTATTTAATAATTTAGCTAGATGTCACAGTAGAGAGAATGCTGGGCTTGGAGTCAGGAAGACCTGAATTAAAATCTAGCCTCAGACACTTTCTAGTTGTGTAACCTTGGACAAGTCATTTTAACCTCAGTTTCCTTGACTGTAAAATAGGAACAATAACAGCACCTACCTCTCAGGATTGTTGTGAGGATCGAATGAGAAAATGTTTCTAAAATACTTAGTACAGTTCCTAGTACATAGTAGGTGCTCTATAAATGCCTATTCTCTTCCGCTTCCCCTTCCCCTCCTATGAGGAAAGCCATTTGATCTCTCAGTTTCTTCATCTGTCAAATGAGAGCTGAACTAGATGATTTCTTAAAATCATTTCTAACTCTAAATAAAATCTATGTAGTTAAAAAAAATATATGTGAATGTATGTGTCTGTGTATATATATCTTTAACCCTAATTAGCTGCTGCCAGACTTCACCCTCAGTAGGATCATGTTGGAGGGGGCCCCAAGTGCTCAAAGGGAAGTCAGGGAGGGAAAAGGGAGATCCACTAGGAACTCCATAAGTGCCTGAGGCTGGGAGGCAGGACCTACCTCTGACTGGCAGAAAGTCTTCAGGTGCCTCAGTTTTGTTGGAGGTGAAGGGACTGATGGAAGGGAAGATGATTAGGGCAAAGGACAGCAGCAGGACCTTGGGTGGAAAGAACAAGGGTTACGGACACCACAGCTCCCCTAGCTCCCATCCCAAGTCTCCACACTGGGAGACCCCAGCCCTCCCCTCACTGATGATCAGCTGGGTGATGACTATGGAGATCTAGGGCTAGAAGGCCGGCTTCCTCTCTGCAAAGCGTGATGGTGGAGGTCATTTCCACCATCTAACTCCCGTCTCCAGTTCCTGGTCTCCAATTCCAGCTGTAATCCGTACAGTGGAAAGAGCTCTGGATTTGGAGTCAAGACACTTGTTGGCTTTCTGCCATCAATACCTTCTATGGCCTTGGGCGAGTGAATCCATGTCTCTGGGCCTCAGTCTCCTCCTCTTCAATATGATAACTAGATGATTTCTAAGGTCCCTTCCAGCTCTGACTATATTAAATTCAATTCAACAAGCATTTATTTGACGTTTTTCATGACCAAGACACTGTTCTATTTTATGCTCTAAGCAACTTGTCCAGCCCTAATGTTCCATGGTCTCCCCAGAGCTGACCTTTCTATGTCTTGAGGTCCCAGTAAATTGTAAGCTGCTTCAAAATAATAATAATATCTAGCATTTATACAGTATTTCTGGGAGCACGAAGCAACTTACCTGTTATCTCATCTGATCCTAACAACCTTGCAAGTTAAGGGCTATTATGATCCCCATTTTACAGATGAGGAAGCTGAGGTAGACGGAGGTTAAGTGACTTGCCCAAGGTCACACAGCTTGAGAAAGGATTTAAACTCAGGTCATTTTGACTCCACATCCAGCACTGAATCCACTGTGCCACCTTGAAGGTGGATGGCTCATTTTTTTCTTTGTATTCCCAGTGCATAATTAAGTATGCCCACAGTCAAGGCACCGGTAAATGCTTGTTGAGTTGAACTGATGACCTCTAAGGTCCCAGCTTTGATATTCTATCTTCTAAGGTTCCTTCCAGCTCTCACATTCTGTTTTCTGTTCTAAGATGCCTCCCAGCTTTGGCATTCTTATGTTCTAATGTTCCTTCCGGCTCTGACATTTTATTTTCCATGATCGCTAATTCTCATCCCTGGCTTATGATCCCAGAAGTGGTTCATCAGATCTTTCTTCAGTCTGAGTTGTAGAGTCTCAAATGGGCCTGTAAAGTTCTGTGGGAGTTACTTTTCTGTCCTTTCAGGTAGACTTTAAGTGCCTTGAGATCAAGGATGGTTTTTCTTTTTGCTTTTGTATCCCCAGCACCTGGCAAAATGCCAGCATGTAAGAGGCAGTTTAACACATGTTTGTTGGATTGGTTTGGGGCTAGAACTAAAGTCTGGAATAAGAAAGGCTGTGCCTTCTGTGTCCTCTTCCTCTGCCTCTTTCTTCAGGCATAGATGTTAGGGGGCAGTGGCATTTCCACTGTTGGGAGTAGGGGCCTCAGGAAGAAGTAATAAAAAAAAGTTTGGGAGGAGAGAGGGACCATACCGCGATACAGGTGCCTGTCTGAGCCGATTTGCTGGTGGACTGTACCATGAGGGTCTGGAGTTTCCTCAGCTGCTCCATGAGAGATCTAGAAAGAGAGGGTACAAGGAAAAACCTTGTGAAGCCAGGGCACGGACTTAGGCATCTCAAGTTCAGGCAATTTTCATTTCTGCCTCCTATAATTTCCTTTTCCCTCACCTCTCCCAAATTTCCCCCCTCCCCTGTCTTTTTAAATCTGATCCCATCCTTCAGGGCCCAGTTCAAACTCTGCTTCCTCCAAGAAATATTCCCACTTCCCCTCCCCCCCCCCCCACACACGCGCTCTCTCTCTCTCTCTCTCTCTCTCTCTCTCTCTCTCTCTCTCTCTCTCTCTCTCTCTCTCTCTCTCTCTCTCTCTTTCTCTGTCTCAAAATGCTTTTGAGATTTCTCTGCCATCAGAAGGTCCATGATTCTATTTGTGTGGGGGTTCCTCCAATGGACACAGATTGCAGCCCTTTCGTATGAGTCACCATGAATTGCCCTAACTAGAATAGTTTATCACCCGGTAGCCAGCCTTGTGCTGAAGAGCCTAAGACCAACTAGCCTGGTCCTGGGATTGCCGACACCCAGTAGGTAATACACATGAGCTATAGTTCTCTTCTTGTTTCATAGGTGAGTCTTGTCTCTACAGCTAGACTTTTCACTCCTTGGTGGCAGGGGCCAACCTCCAGCTTCCCCCACAGTCCTGAGCATGTAGTAAGCTTCAGGCAACTCTTGGAATTGCATTTGAAGCTCTAGAGGAAGCCATCAGCTACTGATCTTTTACTGAGTCCCCACTTCTCCCAGGAGTGTGTTAAAGAAGCCAACTCAGGCCAGTCCTCAAAGACCTTACAATCTAGGTGGGTGACATAAGACACAAATATACCAAAAGTTTAAAAGAAGAGGAGAAAAAGAGTTCCAGACATCATGGTTGGGTGTGCTCAGTGCCAAATGAAGAGTAGACAAATATTATAGGTGATCAGAGAAGAGAGTTGTGGAGGATGGGGATCTGGGAAGACTTTCTGAAGAAAATGGAACTTGAGCGGAACGTTGAGGAATGAGGAAAGGAGGGCATTCCTGAGGAGAGGGGACAGGAATGAGCTTGGTGGATGTAAGTAAGAATCTGAACTGGCTGGGGCAGAGGGGATAGGGGCACTAGGGAACAGGGGGGAAGGTGGCTGGAAAGTGAAATTGGGACCAGCGTAGGGGCTGTGAAGGACCTTGCTCTTTTGGGGGCTCTGGGGCTGACTGGCCTGGGCCAACCCCACCTTCCCTCCCTGCACCTGGTGGTATGGAGGGTGGGGTGAGAGTGTTCAAACTTACAGGTTTTGTTTCTCCAAATGCAAGACCTTCCTCTGGAGCTCCTGGTTCTGGGCTGTGCACTTCGACATGCTGCAAGAAGAGAGAGTGGAAGATGTTACTCAACCCCAATCCCTGGATGGGCAAGCCCAAGACAGCTCAGCTCACATGTCAGGTAATGGGACCTGGAGAGAGATGAAATCTCTCCCACCCTCACTTCAACTCAGAAGGGACCTGTGAGGGCAGCTATTGTAGCCCACACCTGAGCAGGAGTCCCTCTACAAAAGCCCCAGTGAGTCCTCTAGCCTTGAAAGCCCTTACTTCTAAGATATCCCGTCTTCTTTGAGACTGGAAGGTCCCTGAAAGAGCATTTAGTCCAACCCTTTCATTTTATGTATGAGAAAATTGAGACTCGGAGAGGAAGTGATTTGCCCAAGGTCTAGGACATCTAGGACAAAATCTACTTGTTGGTCCTATCGACGTTTGGTGCCAAGCAATAGCAGTCCTCATTTTGCTCTGAAGGAAGCTAAGAATTTTAATAGGGAGAAACACGAAGAGGGAGTACATTCTAGGAATAGGGGAGAGCCAATGAAAAAACATGGGTTGGAGCAGAAGAATGCTGAGTTTCAGGGACAGCAAACAGGCCAATGGGGTTAGGGATGGGGGTATATGAAAAAGAATAATGTGAAATAAGTCACAAAGGGAGGCTGGAGCCAGATGGTAAAGGCTTTAGATGTCAAGCTGAGGGGTTTGTATTTTATCCTTGTGGCAATGAAGAGGCATTGAAGCTTCTGGTAACATGGTGAGGTTAAAGTACATGAAAGGGAGTAAAATGTAAGAAGACTGGAAAATAGGAAGGGGCCAGGCTTCGTGACTTGGCCATGGCCATGAAGAGCATTACGTATTTGCTCCTAGAGATAGTGGGGAGTCATGTGAGTTTGTTTTTTTCAGTAGTGAAGTAATACAGTCAGGGCTGTTCTTTATAAAAATCACTTTGGCAGCAACATGGAAGATAGAGTAAAGAAATTTGAGACAGGGAGACCAATTAGGAGACCATTGCAATAGGTGAGCTCCCAGGTAAGGAGAGTCTTTAAAGCAAAGCGGTGACCCACTCTGTGAATAGAGAGAAGGAGAGAGAGGCAGGAGATACTACGGAAGTAGAAACAACTAGACGTTGCGACTGACTGGAAACATGGAAGGAAGATAAGGAAATCTGTTATAGATGCAGTGAATTTGAGATGCCTAGGGACCATACAGGTAGAGATGTCCAGCAAACATTTGATGATGTGGGACTGGATTGGGCTCAGTGTGTAGATTTGGGAGTCATCTGAATAGACATAATTAAACTCATGCCATTTCCAGAAGAGTGTGTAGGGAGAGGAGTGTCCTAGGAAGGAGCCTGGAGGGGCACTCCTGGCCAGTTAGGGGCCAGTAGATAAGCGATCGTGTCCTCCTAAATCTGCTCTTCTTTAGACTAAACATCCCCGGCTCCTTCAGCGGACCTTCCTTCCCATCTCTTGCTCCTTTCTAGCTCCCTCCCTAAAGGATCTGTTGTCTTGCATGACTCAGGCTTCCTTGGGAACCAAGGTGAATGAAAGAGGGTCATGGGAATGTGGAGACAGGTCCTACTGTGGTAGAATGAAACCCAAGACCATGAGTCAGAGGATCTAGGTTCTAGTCCTGGTTCTTCCACTGACCACTTTTGTGGCCTTGGACCAATCATTTGCCTTCTCTGGGCCTCAGCGTCCCTATCTAGCAAATGAAAGGGCTGCATTAGATGACTTCTTTGGTCCCTCCGAGAACAAATAGCTATGCTACTCATTCATTGTTATATGATCCCCTCCCTGGGCCTCAGTTTCCTCATTTGTCAGATGGGAGCAACAATCCCTGGCATGCCCTCTCTTCAGGAATGTTGTGAGAAATGAGTTTACTCCTAGCACAGAACAGATGTTGGGAAGTTCATTACCAGAGCTCCAGCCCATCAATGTATTCCTTCTTCTTTTTCCGGCTCTCTTGTGCCGACTGCTTGTTTCTTATTTTCCTTCGGATCTTCTTGAGCACCCGTTCTTCATACTGCCAGATGGGACATGGAGGAGTCAAGGGGGCAGTCTGTGGTCCTGACAACCTAAGCCCCCACCATCCCAAATTCTTCTGATCCTCAGAATCCAAGCCTCCCTGCCTCTCATGTGCCTACCATGAGGCTCCTGGAATCTCCCAGCTTTCCAGTCCTTTGATTTCAGGTCTAATTATTCTTTAATCTCTTTTATTTTATCTCTTTGGTCGGAAGCAACTGTGTACAACACCAGTTTTCTGAGTGTTTGTTGATTTGCTGTATCTGGGAACCCCACCTCCCATACCTATTGTCCTGGCCTCCAAAGGGATGGGTATAACCAAGGTGATAAGAGCTTGCCATTTGCCTACAGGAACAGTTGACTCTCTGGTGGTACCAGAGCATAGCTGATACGTGGTGAGGGGTAACTGGAAGGCTCCCCACCGAACTGTCTCCTGCAGGCTCACCTGAAATCCTGCCATTTACCAGTTTATTCCCCATGTTAAACAGTACTGCTGGGAGAGGTAACATTAAACACCTAACTCTATAGTGTGACACAGTTTGTCACATTGATTTTCCTCTGGGCACACCAAAATAACAGTGAGGGGAGTAACTCACATTTCTGTACTGCCTCAAAGTTTAAAGACGCTTTTCATCATGACACCCTGTGAGGCCCATAGTGCCATCCCCATTTTACAGATGAAAGAAATGAGGCTGTGACAGGTAACACAACCTGTCCAGGGTCTCATGACTAATAAGTATCAGAACTGGGGTTCAAAGCCATCCAGGTCCTGTGACTCCATGTAACAGAGAATCTGTAAAGTTGTCTTCCATGTAATGGAATGTTGGTGACAATGAATTAGACTGAGAATGAGGAATGCTGGATTTTAGTTGCAGACCCCACAGTTACTAGCCATGTGACTTTGATCAAGTCACTTCACCTCTGACCGAGGCTCCTCATTTACTGTGGGAGCAATGCTGTTCATATCAAGTATCTCATAGGCTTGTGAGGAAAGCCATTCATAAACTTTCAAGGGCTGTGTATAGAGAGGTGAATTGTTATCCCTGTCCCTAGGGGTGGGAGAGCTGTCCAGAATGGAGGCTTAGGGAGTGACTGCCTCTGAGAGAGAACCGGATGATGGAAGGGGCTCACCTTGGTGAGGGGCAGCTGGGTGGGCAGAGTGATGCCCTCCTTGGCAAGGAGCTTCTTCTCATCCTCAGTCAGCACCAATTCCTGGATGTGCCCAATGCTTGACCGCTGCATGGCTGCAGATCCATGCTGCTGCTGCAGGCAGACCCAAAGTCCCAGAGAGGACGGTCAGGGTGCAGGACCTTCCCCCAAAGCTGCTTATGCAGAGCCCAGGCTGGCAAGGGAGATCAAGGGGGAGGAGGGAGGGAGCAAATGGGCTTAATGCCAGTGAGGCTGAAGGTTCAGGGTCAAAAGGAACGGCAGAGCATGGTGGATAGAGCCCTGACCTAAAAGGCAGGAGACCCCAGTTCAGATTCTGTCTCCGCCACTGACCATATAGCCACTCTTGCATATAGCCTTCACCTCAGCCTTAGTTGGCTCATCTGGCAAGAGGCAACCTTGTCATAGTGGAGAGAACGCTAGGTTTAAGGCCTTCCTCCACCACTGGCTCCTCACTCCCCTCCTCTGGACCTTGACTTCCTATCTGGCAGATGAGAGGTCACTTCCAGCTCTTTCCATGATCCCTAAGGTCCCTCTAGCTCTAACTTTCTGTGACTCATTGAGGCATATATGTAGACAAGAACATCTGAAAGGCTGCCATAGCTGTGAGTGGCAGCCAGGACAACCAGGCCAATCTGGGAGCAAGATTCAGGGATAGGAACTGGGGGAGTCCTGTGTGGGAAGTTACCAGGAGACAGAGGACGTAGGGGAGAAGTAGGGAACGGTTCAGGAACATGACAGATACAAGCTGGACGCCGTGAGGAAGGAGCTCACCATGTCTGCATTACTGGATAGGAGCAGGTCCTTGACTGTGAGGGCACAGGATGGAGTTGAGCCTGTCAGCTCTGGCCTGTCCTGGAAGATGCCTTCTGGGCTCCACATTTCTGCCCCGAGGTAAACAGAGCAAGAAAAGAAACCTCTGAGAGCTGTTACCTGCTACAGGGGGCTCTTCGTCCCTGCTCAGCCTTGGGGATCACCTCTCAGAGCCCACTCTCCCAAATTAGGGGAGGAATGGAGGCTTTTATCCTTTCCTCTGGCCCCACACCCTTCTGATACTTGGACTCCTCCCATACCAAGGCCCAGGGACCCCTTCATCTTGGTTCTGTTCCTGAGCCTCTGGAAGCTGCTCTTTCTCACACCGTTCTCTCCTAACCAAATACCCTTCCCCCTCCACATACTCAAATTATCCTCCTTTAAGGTCTTCCTCTTTTCTTGCAGATATGGATTTCCTTGAGTTTAATTTTAGGGTTTCCCATCCCCTATTCCCAATCCTTCTCAATTGATCTATTCAAAAACATCCCAGGCAGGGAGATACTCTAATAAGATGGGATAAAGGGCCTAGCCATAGGTCAATGCCAGCACTCACCCAGATCTATGGACACAGATGACTCTAGCACTTGAGGTCTGGGTTCTTCAGGCCCAGTGGGGCCAGGGCAGGGGCCAGCATGGCAGTAGGAAGGTTGAGAAGCCTTTTGGTGGCCATCTGGGCTGGTCCCAGCCTGAAAGTACTGTGGGCTGTCCTGGAGTTCAGAGGGCAGGTCCTCAGAGATCCCACTGTCACTGGCAGCAGGTGACCAGAGTGGGGAGCTAGGGATAGAGTCCCCACATCCTAAAATGGAGCTAAGGAACTTGTCTGGTTCTGGAGCCGGCTGGGTCTTCTGGGGACCAAAGAAGAAGGAAAACATAAGTGGAGAGGGCTTGGAGCTGGGAGCATAAAAAACAGAAACTCCACTCCCCCCGCCCCCCCTGGAACTATGACCAGGAATGGAACAATTGCTGAGGGCTTGAGCAGGACAGTGAGAAGAGCCCTCCAAGGTAGCTTTAGTTCTAGATCAATGAATAATCTTATGTTTGGGAGTCAGGAGATCTGACTCTGCTGCTCATTCAGCTGGGAGGAGGTCTTCCTTCCGAGGGCTTGTGGTGTGGGGCGGAACTCACTTGGTCCTCAGCATGGGCACAGTCAGAGTCTCCTAGCTCCATGAGCCACAAGACCCCATCCTGTGGGTCAAAGAGAAGGTCTAGAAGCTCCAGGCTGTCAGCGGACCCCATGGGGCAGGAAGAGGCCATCTGGAACTAAGAAGGAAAAGGGCATTAATGTACTTCCCCCTGCCCTCCTTTCAGAGTACTGGACCAGACCCAACTCTCCTCAGAGAGGTGATTGGTACCCCCAGCCCAGAAACTCTTTGCCTACCCGTCAATCTGAGCTCCCAATTTTAGCTCCCAGTCACTGTTTTAGAGAAAGGCAGTGTGAACAGAGCACAGGACTTAGAGCCAGGAAGGGCTGCGTTCAAATCCCACTTCTGGTACCTAGTAAACTGTGTGATCATGGGCAAGTCTCCTTTTGAAAAATAAGGATGCTAATACCTGTAGTAATCATGTATATGAAGGGCTGTAGAAATATCAGTCCCTTCTCTCTCTGTTCTGTCTTTATTTATCTCTTTCTCTCCCTGGTGAATGAAGGCAGGGTAGGTAGGTACCCCTTGGCCTTTTCCACAAGTCTGACTGCACATTTTGTCAAGCATTATGGGCACCTAGTCATATGTCCTGAGCTCCCAGGGAGGGGCTTTAGCCATAGGGAATAAGAGATTGGGCTAGCAGATAGCCAGGGAGGGCATGATGTGAGGGAAAGGGGGACAGACATTCACCCTCTTTTCACCCTTGTCAAAAACTCACTTATCCACTTTTGGACAAATCACTGAGCGTGAGTTTCCCCATCTATAAAATGAAGAAGAGGTTGGCATAGAAGATCTTCAAACCCCCTACCAGCTCTAATATCCTTTGTTTCAAAGTCCCTCCCAACTCCAACATTTTTGGTATCTGAAGTTCCTTCCCAGCTCTAATACTGGCCCAAGACCCCTTCCTCTAGGTTGACTCCTGTACTATGACAGCTACTTCCTGGCCCTGAATTCCAAAGTGCTCCCACTCAAATTTAGATTACTGTCTCTAAAGCCTGAAGGATCTTTCAAAATGATGTAGTCCACCTGCCTGGTACAAACGCGAAAACTGAAGCCTAGAGAGGTTGTGACTTTCAAGTGCTCCCACTCCCCCAGTCCCTTGCATCACCCACCCCTCCTCACCTTTTCTGAGGCTAAGTCCCCATTCAGGAGGGGATGTTCAGGACAGGTTTCTTCTTCCTTTCCCCACCCTGGGGGCAATTTTGGATCGCAACTCCCTGAACCACCAGGCATTGAATCCCTCCCCTAAACTGCTTGCCAAATGCCAGCTGACTTAACTTTATGACAACATTTCCACTCTGGTGAGGGCTAAAAAAATACCAAGAAAGAGCTGAAATCCCACCCCTTGGGACCAATTGGTAAGGGTGGGAGGATTGGGGTGAGTGGCAGGAGACAGGACCAATCAGACAAATCTGCCCCTCCTCCCAGGTGTGTTTAGAAGAGGCGGGGTGACCGTTATCTGAATGTTTTGTGCTTTTCCAGTCCAGAGTGGGCAAAGCTCAAAGTCTCTCGCTCCTCAGTCTTCTGTGACCTTTCCCCTACTTACCAAGAGTGCTTCCTTTTCCATTGCATAGCCTTGGCACCCTGAAACCCAGCCTTCCCCACCTCCAGCTTCCAAGGGCTGAGCTTTTCCCACTCTCTCCAGACACCTGTTGTCCATTGCTGGAGAATTACCCACCCACCCCCAGCCCCCATCAATCTCAGCCTGTAAAAATCTTGCTTACATTTCACCAGCAAGCTCACATGCCCTCCTCTTCCAGGAAGCCTTCCCCAATCCCTATGTTTCTCATTTCACCAAAAACCTCAAAATTTTCTCTTCTCCTCAGAGCCCCTGCAATACTTTGGACCCTTCTCATGCACACATCCTAACACATTACCTCTTAATGTAGTTCTTTGTGTACATCTCTTAACTTTCCCTGCTGGGCCTATAGAACATAGATTATTAGAACTTAGAGATCTTTACAGCATAGAATGTCAGCGCTTGAGGAACATTACAATATAATCCTGTAGTAATAATAATGTTGGGTCGTTTCAGACTTTTTGTGACCCCATTTGGAGTTTTCTTAGCAGAGATACGAAAGTGGTTTGCCATTTCCTTCTCCAGCTCATTTTACAGATGAGGAAACTGAGGCAGACAGAGTTAAGTGATTTTCTCAGTGTCACACAGCTTGTAAGTGTCTGAGGCCAGATTTGAACTAAGGTCTTGGGAAGTTCAGGTCCATCACTATCCATGGCACCACCTAGCTGCCTAACATAGACTGCTATGACTGAAAGGGACCTGAGAAGATAGATGTCAGGGCTAGAAGACCTTCTAGTACAAGTGTTCTCATTTTACAAATAAGGTCCTAAGAGAAGTGAATTTTAAATTCCTTAAGGGAAAACTCTGAGAACAGAGAGGCCAGTTTAACTAGATTACAGAATTTGGGAAAGGGAGTAATATCCAAAGAGACTGGAAAGATGGGTTTGGGTCAAGTTGGTTAGAGGATCTGCTCCCAGAGGCAATAGGAAGCCACTGGAATTGATTGGCAGCAGTGTGTCCTGGAACGGTGAAGAGACTGGAGGCAGAGAGAGCAGTCAGGTTGTAATAAACTACTCAAGAGAAGGCATGAACTAAGGTGGTAGCTGTGGGAAGAGAGAGAAGGGATCAGATAAGAGGAATGTTGTGAAGGTAGAAATGGCAAGATTCAGGTTGAGGAAGAGGGAGGAGTTAAGGAACCCAAGACACTGGAAGTGTGATGGTGCTTTCCACCAAAATAGGGACATTTGGAAGAACAGAAGATTTAGGGAGAAAGAAAACGAGTTCAGCTTTCGACATGTTGAATTTAAGACATCTCTGAAAAATCCAATTTGAAATCTCCAGTAGAGAGTTGGTGATAGAGGACTGAAACTCAATTGAGAGACTAGAACTGGATATATAGATCTGCACAGAAATGATAATTCCTAAAGAGAGAGAGAGAGAATAGAGCAGGAGTTATTAACTTTTTGTGACATGGATCCCTCTGGAAGTCTGGTAAAGTCTATGGACTCCTCAGAATATTAAAATTCATAATTGATTCAAAGGATTCATAATAAAAAAAATGCTATTTACCTCCAGAGAAAGAACTGATGAATTCTGAGTATAGATTGAAGCATACTTTTTTACTTTATTTTTCTTGGTTTTTTTTTTTTTTCGGAAACATGGCTAATATGGAAACATGTTTTGAATGACTTCATATGTATGAAGGTTATTATACTGCTTGCCTTCTCAATGAGTGAGAGAGGGGATGGGAGAAAGAAGAGAATTTAATTTAAAAAAACAAATTTTAAACATTAATTAAAATATTTCATCATTAAATGAAATGAAATAAAATTCATAGTTGAAGGAAGCGCAAAATTTCTCTTAGAGGCTAATAGAAATAAAAAGGTAATTTTTTTTTCTGTACAAGTTCATAGGTCTCAGCTTAAGAATTTGTGGTATAGAGGGAGAAGAGAAGAGGGCCTAATATAGAACTTGGGGGATGATTTACATTTAGAATGTGTGAGTAGGGATAATGAGCCAACAAAGGAGGCTAAGAAGAAGTCAGATGGGTAGAGATGAACCAGGAGAGTAGTATCATGAAAACCCAGAGAAAATACTATCTAGGAGAAAAGGTCTGCAGGAGTGAGATAAGGAATAATTTGCCTTGCTGTAGTGAGGGCCCAATTTAGGGTCAGGTAACATAAATTTGTAATGTACCCAGTTAGCATGGTTATAGGATTTCTTCCAGCTTTGTTCATCAGTTTGTAAGTAGGAATGGAGGAGACAGATGGTGGGAATAACCCAAAACTGAAATTTGGCAAAAGAAAAGCAGCCATAGGACAAGGGAGCAAAGATTTCAAGAGTATAAAAGAGTATAGAGTTGAAATCACTAACTATTGGGTTGAGTTTAGAGGAGACAAGTGAAGTCAGAGCAAGGGTAATGGCCCATGAAAGTACCAGGTTGGGGGGGGGAGGGGCAGACAGCTAGGTGGCACAGTAGATAGAGCTCCAGCCTTGGAGTCAGGAAGACCTAAGTTCAAATCTCAGAGGAGGCCTCAGACACTTGACACTTACTAGCTGTGTGACCCTGGGCAAGTCATTTAATCCCGATTGCCTCATCAAAAAGAAAAAAAAAAAGAATGCGTTTATACTTGGCCCCTTGCAGTAGGCCACACAGGCTTTGGTCCTCTTGCTAAAGGAGAAGTGCAGTCAAAGGCTCCTGATTGATTCCTGGGTCTTTGTGATGAAGGTGGGTATGGGGGAAGTGAGAGACCTGTGTCAATCAAGGATTATCAACGCATCCAAGAAAAGATGTTCACTTTGTGGACTTTGAGGAATGCCCAGATTCCCTTTGGACTTACCAACCGGAGACGAAGAATTTCTCTTTAACTTTCCTTCCTCATTAGCAGCTATGGCAGCCACAAGTATGTGATAGTGAAAAGGGGTGCTTGCTTGGGCAAGCTTGAGACTGGACCTTAACTCTCTGGCTTCCTCTTTGTATTGTGTTTCTTTTCCTAAATACAGGTGACTGAACAGCAATCCTGAGATGGACACTTTCAGCCCTGGTGGTAAGCTTGTGTATGTGCGAGATTAGGAGTTCTTAGGTGCTGACTGATAGCAGGAGGTGGTTCCTGCAACTATAGAACTTCTCAGAGGCTAAGAGGCACACTGCTGCCAAAAGAAAGCCTCAGGATGATTCTGCAGCCAAGAGCTAAACCTCATGCCTTGCCCTGGCTTACCAGGGCTTGCTTAGCTAGTTCAGTTGTTCCACAGTGTGTTTCGTATTCTAAGTATTTGCCAATGATTGCTTATGAGTTTCATGTTGCAATCATTTCTTTTATTTTGCAGGAAATAAGTATTTGTCCTGTACCTAATATCTACTATTCTGGGCCATGAGTACCTTTCTAGAAGGGACCCTATTTGGTGGAGCCTCTGGACATAAACAAAGCCTCTGTTTTGTTGCAGAGATTTTTCTTGGCATTTCACTTTGGGATGGGGATGTAATGAACTAGAGACTATAAGAAAAGCCTGACTCCTTCTCCAGATGTTACACTCCTCCAGGGCTGAACAGCTTGAGCCTAGGGCCAGAGTCCTTTGTGGGAATATGGCACCCCATGGTAGATCAGGAATAACCCTGAAAACTTTAAGGCCGTTCTCTGTGAACTCTCTCTTCTCCCCTTCCCTCTGATAAAATATATCTAAATCATTTCCCATAACTGTAATTTTAGTAACTATCTAAACAGGAAATGAGGTTTGTATGGCATTGTTCATTGGTTTTCTATAATGTTTGCTCCTTTTTCTAGGTGACTCAAACAATTTCTAATTAGTCATTCTAGTTTGCAGTCTGCTGTCTATCCCCATTAATTTTTTTTTAATATAGAGCCAACATTTATCATATACCAAAATAAAGTCAAAATGAATTCATAAGTTAGATGTAAAGGCTGATATTATCAGCAAACTGGGAGAGCAAGGAATAGTTTACCTGTCAGATTTATGGAAAACAGAAGAATTCATGACCAAACAGGAGATAGAGAACATTATGGAATGAAAAATGGATACTTTTGATTACATTAAATTGAAAAGTTTTTGCACAAAGCCAATGCAACCAAAATTATAAGGAAAGTAGAAAATTGAAAGTAGAAATTAAAGCTATCTATAGTCATACGAAAAAATGCTCTAAATCACTATTGATTAGAGAAATGCAGATCAAAACAACTCTGAGGTACCACATCATACCTACCAGACTGGCCAACATGTCAAAACAGGAAAATGATAAATGTTGGAGAAGATGTGGGAAAACTGGAACACTAATGCATTGTTGGTGGAGTTGTGAAATGATCCAACCATTTTGAAGAGCAATTTGGAACTATACCCAAAGGGCTATAAAAATGTACATACCCTTTGACCCAACAATAGCAATTCTAGGACTGTATCCCAAAGAGATCATACAAATGGGAAAAGGACCCACATGTACAAAAATATTTATAGGGGCAGCTAGGTGACGCAGTGGATAGAGCACTGGCCCTAGAGTCAGGAGGACCTGAGTTCAAATGTGACCTCAGACACATAATACTTCCTAGCTGTGTGACTCTAAGCAAGTCACTTAACCCCAATTGCCTCGCTAAAACAAAACAAAACAAAACAAAATATATTTATAGCAGCTCTTTTTGTGGTGGCAAAGAATTGGAAATTGAGAGGATGCCCATCAATTGGGGAATGGCTGTACAAGTAGTGGTATATGAATGTAATGGAATAGTATTGTGCTATAAGA